TTGACCACTCCCAGGGAGGGGCCAGCCACAACTTCTCTGGGCAACCTGTCCCAGTGCCTCACCACCCTCATAGAGAAGAATTTCTTCCTAATATCTAATCTAAATCTACCCTCTTTCAGTTTAAAGCCATTGTCCCTTGCCCTATCATGACATGCCCTTGTAAACAGTCCTTCTCCTGCTTTTTTGTAGGCCCCTTTAGGTACTGGAAGGCTGCACTAAGGTCTCCCCAGAGTCTTCTCTTTTCCAGGCTGAACAACCCCAACTCTCTCAGCCTGTCTTCATAGGAGAGGTGCTCCAGCTCTCTGATCATCTCCGTGGCCCTCCTGTGGACTGGCTTCAACAGGTCCATGTCCTTCTTATGTTGGGGACTCTGGAGCTGGATGCAGTACTCCAGGTTGGGGTCTCATGAGAGCAGAGTAGAGAGGGAGAATCACCTCCCTTGACCTGCTGGTCACGCTTCTTTTGGTGCAGCCCAGGACACAGTTGGCTTTCTGGGCTGCGAGTATGCATTGTTGGCTCATGTTGAGCTTCTCATCAGCCACCACCCCCACGTCCTTCTCCTTGGGGCTGCTCTCAACGCATTCTCTGCCCAGCCTGTATTTGTGCTTTGGATTGCCCCAACCCATGTGCAGGACCTTGCACTTGGCCTTGTTGAACTTCATGAGGTTCACATGGGCCCACCTCTCAAGCCTGTCAAGGTCCCTCTGGATGGCATCCCTTCCCTCCAGCATGGCGACCGCAACACACAGCTTGGTGTCATTGGCAAACTTGCTGAGGGTGCGTTCAATCCCACTGTCTACGTCGCTGACAAAGATGGTAAATGGCACCGGTCCCAATACCAGCGCTCTCTGCTCCAGAAGCAGAGACGCATAACCTGTCACTTAGGGTACATAAAAAATGTAGGTCTGTGCTTACACTTAGAGGCGCCAGCTGTTACGGGTCTGCGATAAGATGCCTGCTTCAAAGATGAGTTTGATTTTGCTGTGGGTTCAAGAGCAAAAACTGATTCTGCAGAGTAAAAGACTGTAAATGTATTTTCATGTGCCCTGCAGCTTTGTTCCCCTCCACCCCTTAACCTTGCTTTGGGTTTCAGTGGGACTTCAAGTGGTGCATCACTTTAAGATATTCTTACTCTTTTCTTTACACATGCATACACATTTATGCCATGACAGGTCTATTTACGAGCTTGAAAGTACAGATTTTGGGAAGACAGCCGGTTTTTTTCTGATCTATTCCAGGCTGGAAAATTATTAGATATCAGTATTATTAGATATCAGTATTATTAGATATCAGTATGGATTCAGGGTAGAGAATTTGAAGAAGTCCCATTATATTATGTAAAAATAAAATTTATACATATACCCTTCTAATCAGAGCAAAATTCTGAAGAATTAAAAAAACCTGTTGTTGCTTGGGATAATGGGAAATGATCAAACAATTTCACTTTTAAAGGTTAGAAAGACTATTCAGCAGCAGCATCTGTCAGCTTGAAACTGGTATCAGTTTGCAATTGCAATTTATGTACATGGACAATGTGCCTGATCTAAAATGTCCTTGCTGACAAGAGTGCCCTCGCGCTGGCAAAAGTCTCACCAGTGCTGGTAGGATCAGTTTAGGCATTTATGTTTTCTGTAGTGCTCTAGACCTTTGGAGAAGAGCAGCTTTAAGCTGAATTGCATCTCACTTAAGGCAGAAAATACAGTGAAGATAAAACATGATGCACAGTTTGTAGAAAATGATTTTATTTTATCGTGGAAACATTTAGCAGAGCTGAGATAGTGTGCTGATGGGAGCTGTAGAAAAATCTGAGAACTGACAGCATAGACTTTATTGTGTTAATTAGAAAGTGGTGCAGCCTTAGTGAGAAAATGTATTTTGGGTTCAGCATTTTCTGGGGTTTTTTATCATGCCTTAAAGTGCTTTTTGGGTACTTTGGATGCCGAATTGGAGACTGCACTATCTGAACATCAAGCCCTTTTCCTAATAACGCATTTCAAAGTACTGATGATGTGTTAAATGGAACCGCATTGATTAATCTTTAAAATCAAATCGGGTAACTAACAGACGGGTGTGATGTTTATGCTTATTCTGTTTTATCTTTGTGTAGTGGCGTGGTTTTAGTAATAGAAATGTTCTTGCACAGAAACAAACACTACAGACCCTCTGCTTCACTGATGTTACTGCGCTGTACTTGCTGCTACAGTATTTTATATCAGATAACATCATTTTTTTTTTTTTTAAATCACAATAGAAATGACCTTTTGTTTTTTCATTACCTCATGTGGGATGGCCAGAGGGTATTCTCACACTGTAAAGGCAGTAAAGCACCGACAGATTTTTTTCTAACAAAATCCTTGTGCACAGCTGCATAACATAAATCATTCCTTCCAATTTCTGAATGTTAAATGTTTGTTGTATGAAAGTTACTGCTGTTCTTGCCTGACTTTAACAAGGCTTGGGGTTTTTTGTTTGGCACAAATATTGTTGCTTTTCAGTTTTATAATCATGCTGCCCTTAGTTGTAACAATTATATGGCTTGAGTGCGAGCAAGTATAGGTTAGACTGCCAAGATACTTGTATTTTCAGAACAGTCAGCTCATATTTTACAAATACAGTGTGTGTTGTCCTTTTCTTAAGTTATTTATTTTTAAATTCAACTGGTGCATATATTGCCAAAAAACAGACTATAGCAAAAGAAAATTCAGCTAGTGGAGTAAGAATTGTCTTCTGGGACCAAACCCATTATTTTTACTTACACATTTTGCCCTTTTTCCATGTGACATTGCAGTGCTAAGGATCACGTTACAATGCTTCTGGAATGAATCAACTTGCACTGCCTTAATTAAAGGTATCAAAGTAGGAATGAATAACCGTAGCTGCATCTGTTGCGGCTGTTTAATTTTTGAGAATTAGAATTTGGGATTAGAAATATGCTGGTATTTCTAATACATACTAGCTGCTTCCAAGCAGAGCTTTTACTCAGTATGAAAAAATCCTCCTTTTTTTGCAAAAATATTTCACAGTACTTACTCTGATTTTATTTTAGGAGTTGTTAATTGCTATCCAGAAGAGGGGAAAAGCTAATCGCAGGAATAAATTGGATGAAAACTGATTTGTCAGAATATAAATTGAGATTAAAAAATCTTTCTGGTGGAATTTAAAAAGGGAACTTACGGATATATATGTATTAAAATATTATGCATTCCCCTACCCCTCCACAGTATTTTTGGCTTCTGATCTGCACATTTGCCATTTTGCAAATGTGTTTCTATAGTTTTTATTCTAGCTGGCTGAAGAAAATACCTTTCCATATTTCCAGTTTAAGTTAGGAGGGGGGACTTTTAACAGGTTGTTCTATACTCTGATAGTAAAAAATAATTTTAGACCCTAGGTGCAATATTTATCTTAGTAAATCTGCAAGTGCTTCTGCGAGGTTATTTCTGTATTAAAATGTTTCCAACACAACATTAAGATTTTTTGTTTTTATTTCAGATACTGATGAATACAGACCACCTGTTTGGAAATCTTACTGTAAGTATCTCAATCGATTTTTTTTTTTTTTTTTCCCCCAAGTCAGAGCTGAAGAAGTTTCAGTTAGGTGCTTTAAAGCACTCATTTTTCTTTTCATCAGAATCTGAGTTTAAGAAGCATCAAGGGGCTCATTACTATTTAGAGATAGGTGCAGTTGTTTATCCTGAAGGATAAGTGAATGTGGATTATTTGGAGGAGTAGATTCTCTGCATCTCACTAACAGAAGTGGTCCCACTCCTGTGTGAGTCTGGCTTATATTGGTTTGGCTGCCTAGATTGGGGCTTACATAAACTCCATTCATGCATTAAAGTTGGTATCACTTGCAAACTTTTAGGGCTTCTGTGCTGTAGTACCTTGCATCTCTAGAGCTGGCACTTCAGCTAGTTAGAAAAACTCAAAATAAATAGTTTTCCCCCAGAATTTGCTGATGTAGTGAAATGAGAGCATTTATTTGGCCTGGCGTGACAGCTCACAAGCAAGTTTTTTGAAGCCCTGGGTTCCTACCAGTCTGCCTGCCAGGGCTCTGCAGCATTTTGACATGGGTGCCCTAGCTCAGAGGAAGCCTTGCAGGCTGCCTTAGTCAGGTGTGCAGGGTGGCAGTCGGGGCGCATTGTCCTGAGATCAGAGTGCCACTCCCTTGGGAATTTCACAGCTTGCTGGGTTTCATTCCTAATTAAAAAATACCCCCCACTCACCCACCACCCCACCCCCCAAAAAAACCCTACCCCACCAAAAAAGCCCAAACAAATAAACCCCCCAAAAAACTCCACAACAAACAACCAAACAACCTTACATTTTTAAATACAAAAAAATTCCATGTAAAGTAATAACCTGTTGTTTGGAAGTGCTGATGGAGATTCAGGGAGGTTGAAAAGAACGCAAGACAAATGGCACTGTAGCAAAGCACTGTAGCTTCCCACAGTGTCTCACCTCTGAATTCTACTTCTTTGTAGACAGAAAAGCTCAGGTGCGAGACATTTTGAGACTTGAGGAACTACAGAAAGAAGAGTCTTCTGTTAAACACACAAACATTCTGCTTTCAAAACCTGCTTTTAACACACTTCACAGTTTAGGGATGTCAAACCTACATTTGTGTTTTCTTTTGTATATATTCTTGAGGCTTGGCGTCTTCACACTGGCTAAAGGGATTTGCTCAAGCAACATTTCACATGATGAAAATGTGAATTAGCACCTGAGAAAATGTAGTTACATCAAAATGGTTTCCATCCTGCAGTGGGAGATTCTTTACAGTCGGAGATTTTGCATTGGTCTAAAGGCTTGGTGAAAAACAGGGTTAGAAAGAGAGTAAGTTTAACAGAGCAGATTAAAGCATTTTTGTCAGCTGAAAAATATGTAGTAAAATTAAATGAGCATTAGAAAAACAGCTTTTTTTGTCACCTAGACCAGTCTTCTGCTAATGGCTCACAGAGGTCAGTTGTTTCTGTTCTGTCCCTGCTGTTGTCAACCTGACACATTCAAAAATCACAGTTAGGCCTTAAAAACTCATAAATCGGCATCCTTGTTGGGGTTTGGTTTCCAATTTTTGAGTTGTTAAAGTGATCATGAGTCACATAGTCAAGATCATGTATGCAATATGAGCATTAGATGACTTCTGTAAATGAGAACATGTCTCAAGAAATTTCAAAGAGCTTTGGCTGTAAGGAAATAGTCAGATATTGTGAAATTTGTAGTAAAGATTACAGGAGTTGGCAAAACTGTGTACGCCTTAACAGTCTGGGAATGTCAGGGTCTCTTAAAATACACTTATGCTAATGGAACAAAATTGAAAGGCAATGTCTAAAAAAAGGCTGAAGACTTTTAATTTGTCCATCTTGAGTGTTTTCTTTAAATGGATGACTTTGAACCGGTTTTAATAATTGCCAACATATGCAATTGGTGTCATGTAATTGAGACAGCTGGGACCTTGGTCTGTTTGTGAATCTGGTGGCAAAGCCCGTCTGTGCCTTTGAATCATCATTTGTTATACAAGTAGCTTGTCATTTGCCAAATCAGCCACTTAATATTAAAGAATTTCCACACAGAATGATTTGAACAACCTTTTCTCTTGCAGCGGAGAGCTAAAAGATAAAACTGAGGCACTTCGCTCCTTGGTATTAAACATCGTTAGTCATGATTGTAATACCTTTTTGTACTTCTTGTTGAGATCTGTGTATTTTGCTCCCAGACGTAAGCATTAACAGTGAATCGCAGCTCTACCTTTTGTGAACTCGGGGAACACTGCTTCTTTGTTCTGTTTATTCCGTGCCATAATCCGTAACCGGGGAGGTCCAACATCTGCAATACCGAAACTTTGTTGGCGGCTTGCCAGGAGCTGAGGGCTTGGGTGCGTGCAAATGTGCGTGCACCCATTCTCCTACACCATCATGGTTCACCGTGGTGAACCCTTCCCGTGGTTCAGAATTAAGTGCAGAGTCATGGGGTTTGATTATATTTCTGTCTCATGATGGATGAAGAGAAATGTCTTGTTTGACTTCCCTGGCAATAATTACAGCAGGGAAACTGGTGTTGAACAGTTTGCTTTGCATACATCAGTTAGAGGAGGAGGAATAGGCATCCTGTTTTGTAACTTAACTAGTCTACTTGCTGTCCTTCTGACTGGAAGAGGAGAAGGGTACTGCCTTTGGAGAAGAGGAATTTCCTTCCAGAAAATTTTTTCAGCCTGGCTTGAAGTCAGGTGGGAAACAAATCTCAGTTTTTGGCCAATTTCTGCAGAGTATGCTGATTGTGAGTCTCCACTGCTCTTCTGTGAAATTCGGAGAAATCCATATTCCCGTCATGATTTTTTTTTTTTTCTTTGAACTTGACTCTACAGTTCTCAGTAACAGACGTGGACAAGGGCCAGTGCCATCAAATACAACTTTTACAATGGAAGCTAGGGAAGCTGTGTGCTGGGTAAATAAATGGTCATGCTATGCTTGAAATGAAAATTGCTATTTTCTATGCTAGTGTGCTGTTTTACATCACTTGCAAAAATAATTTCTGTAATACCAGGACAGAACGGTAAGGATTGATTTAGTAATGTCAGGAAAAAACATTAGGTTTTTTGTTTGGAACAGAGGGAGTGATTTTTTTTTCCAGTTTATGATTGCCATATCATCGGACACCTTGCCATTTTATCCATTCTTATATAACTTAGCACATGAATACAGCATTTGTCAGTGGAAAAGACTGGTGATCAAATGAAAAGTGTAGTGAAGCCAAATCTTACTGGGCCAAATCTTAAATCAGTGTACGGTCTTACTACCTGAAGAAGGTGATGGCACATGCTATTAGACCTTGGTGTTAGTACTAATGATTGAAAGATAATTTAATTTTAAAAGATTATAATTCCAAATGTCCATTTTATCAGTTCTAGAGTACTATTCAAACACTAACTTACTGTTGACAGCCTCATTTTGAAGGTGACTTGCCAAACCAGACTCTTTTTGGGACAGAAGTTGAAAGTCTCTCCTTTGGTATTATATTAGAAAGTCTGCAGGCTAGTACCATTAAATTTACAGCTGGCTCCTCAGATTTATTCTGGCTTGCTGAGGCTTATTTAAAAAAAAAAAAAAAAGGAAGTGGGGAGGAAAAAAAAAGGGGGAGTGAAGAGACTAGTAAGTGTATCTCATAATTTGGGCCTTATTTGTTTTACCCTGCTACTCAATACCTGATGTCTTTAGATCTGCAAATGTAAAGGGCATTCTTCTCTTTGTTCAGAAAGGTCATCACTGAGTAGTGGCAAAAGCAGAGGGTTGGGTTTGATTCTGCAAAGTTCTGAATGATTCTTGTAAAGTGTTGGCTATTCAGTCACCTGAAATATGTCCAGCGTAGTAGGATGGGATTCCATCTGCTTACTGAAGAAAGTCTGACAGCAGCCTGATTTGACATATAATAAAATTTAACTTGTATTTCTCATGATTCCTTTTCTGATCTGCTTGATGGAAACTTCACTGTTCTTAACCCAGTGACTCCCTAGTACTCAATCAATTAATTGTAAAGATGATCAATAATCCCGGTTTGGCTAGCAACATTCCTTTTTCTGACCACTTGTAAGTAATTTTTGAGACCTTGATATATACATGCTTGCATTAAATCTTGCAGCAAGTCTTCATTTCTCTTAAACAGCAAAATTTAATGTTAAAATGCCTAATTTATACAATGATTCTGTATTAATCAGATTTTAACTTCTGCCTTCTCTCAGTGTATCAGTTGCAACAGGAAGCTCCCCATCCTAGAAGGATAACCTGCACTCGTGAGGTGGGTATTATAAAGATTCAGTTTTATAGAGTCCAGTAACTCCAAGTCTGTACTTAATGGTGTGCAACTCAAACAATGGTTCCGTGGGAGACTTGGTGCAGTGATTAGAGTACGTAGCCTTGGGGACACTGGTACCTGGAAATCCATTTGATGTAAAATTGAATTAAAAAGCATTTTAGTATGACATGTATACCTGAGAATAATTTACTGGTTTTTGATTCTTAGATAGGCAGATGCATTCAATTTTCTCCTCCTTTTTGGGTCCGAAATTCACAGAAGCAAGAGCAGAGCTGCACAGCAGAACTGTGCACCTGTTCATACGCACATTGCTGCTAGATGTGTGCAATAATTGACAGAGGGAAGACTGAAGTCTCCCCTTGTGCTGTTACTTGAGTCATAGTACTTAAGACTCATTAATACTAGTAGCTAAGCTAGGCAGAGTCCTAGGTTTTAAGGACCCAAATGGTAAGAACGGGATCCTATTGATGCACAGTGACGGAGTAGCACCTGCTTCTGGGGTCAGTTGTTGAGGCAGACCCCAAGTTGCTGGTATGCCCTGAGCTGCTGTCCGGCAGAGCAGCACCTCTCCGGAGCTGTGGTGCGGGAGGGTTGAACCGATACCAAACATCTGTGCAAGCAAGCTTGTACTCGTAACTGCATCTCTCTTGCAGCTTCAGTTAGGAACATGGGAAACATTAATTTCAATTTAAAAAATGCTGAAATGTTGGGCTTGACTTGTTAAGCAGTATTACAAAACACAGCTCTTACGGAATAACCACTGAAAGTTATTACATTGCTGCAATAAAACTTTAGCATTTTTATCATGTGCCAAGAGAAAGGAAATTAATCTTTGAAATATGTTAGTTATTTCAATGTGGTATTAAATACAAAGGGACATAGCACTGTCAGGCCATGAATAGCTTACAGTCTAGATCACAAAGAGGATTGCTTTACAGAATTGAACAGGTGTTTTGCTGTCATCTTTTCAAATGCCCAGTTGTGACTCTGACTACTGTCTGATAATTTTTAAGATAAAAAGTAGAGATTTAATGGAAGTGAAATATAGCATTTAGTGGAAGCACTCTTGTTTTCCTTTCTTAATTTGTAGATTTGTATTTTTATAAAAGATATTGCTATAGCTGATTGCACTTAAGCAAGACATAGCTGTAGGAAAGAACAATACGTTAATTTTACAAGAAGCATTGTAGCAAAAAGTTTCATTTTAACCAGTGTTTTCACTGCTAATGAGTCCAAGTGGGCAGATTCTTAAGTTTGTTGTGCAGAGTTCTTATGGACATCAAATAAGGTGGGATGGAGATTTGGAGCAGAGATCTATAGAAGGTAAGATCTGACCTGTGGAAAAAAGAGGAGATTTTCCAGATTTTTATTCCCATTGCAACATGTTAGGAAGGTTCTGTTCGATTTTGTGTGTTCTCTATGTTAGGGCTTTTTATTACATTATGATACAAAATACCTGAAGTCTTATAGGAACTTAGTCTTGTAATACAGGTTTCTAATTCTACAGTTTGAGTGTCTGCTTCAAGCAGTGAGAGTATTTCCAGCTCCAGAATAAGAACCTGGCATGAATGGAGATTTTCCCATTGACTTCAGTGGGACTATTCCCAAACAATGTGTTCAAGAGCTGTGTTATATCTGATCGTGCCCTGTATTGCAGTTGGGCAAAATGGATGTAGACCCCATGCCACCTGGAACCTCACATACTATTGAGGAGAGCATCATTTTCTCTCAGTGTTTCTCCTCCTTTTTTTTTTTTCTCCTCCCCTGTATTACAAGCGTATTCTCCTCCTCCTCCTCCCACTTTTTCCTCTTGCAGTTTTTCTTGAGGAAGTAGAGGATACAAAAGCATTGACGTAGAGTGCTGAGAGCACCATTGTTCTATTGTGTCTCAGTTGAACAGTAACCTACCTTTGTATTCACAGGTACGCATGTGCTCACCTGGATAGGATGAAGTATTTTACTCCCTTTGTTGTTGTTAAGTGCTGTTGAGTAGTTGCTTTTTCCTTCCTCCTCCAAAAGTATTTCACCGGTGGAAGAAGTGCTAGTATGTGTGTAGATATATGTATATATGCACATAGTAAAATGTACGAGCCTTCTGTTGGCAGCCTTCTGACACTGTTGAGGTGGTGACATTATGCCTGTGCAATCACTGTGGTCTCTTGTTTGCTGAGTCTTATCTCAGAGCGCTGCTATTATTTACTCATTTAATGACAGAGTTTCTTACAGTGTATGCTCACGATTTTGCCTGGTCCTTGTGGTGATGAGCAACCATTCTTCAGTTTCTTCACTTAGATGCTTTGAGAGCTTCAGTTGCGAATGTTTTAATTCTTATGGAAGTAAAACCTTCATTTTTCTATATACCTTTCGATATCTTTAAAAAAAACAAAACACAAAAAACCCGCAGAAATGTGGGAAAGTACCAGTACAATTAAGGCAATCTTACAGCAGATAATGTAACAATTATAATTGTTGTGCATGTCAGTTGGACAATGCATATGTCCCTTGTAGTCAGGGAGAAACTGTAAAATGATAAAGGTCCAGCATATTCAGTAAGATCTGTTGGCATTATATCCCATGCTAGTTTGATTGCAGAGAGGTGTTTTGGGGTCTTTTTGCCTTGGGTGATGAGAAGTCACAAGCATATTTTATACTAAGTTCTCCTTTATAATATTTCTTAGAATACTGTTAGCCTGTCCAGTCAAATAAGCAGAGATATAAATGTGTACACAGTATCTGAAAATTTAAAATGTCTCCTGCCTCTGGAGTGCTGGAAATCCTTCAGCTATTGGTCAGATCCAGATTGCCTTCTTTTTAGAATCAAACAAGAGACCTGTTCTTGCCAGCCAAATATAAAAGCATCTGGGTAAAGCTTCTTCAAATACAAGTCACATTGACCACTTATGATTTTCTCATCCTTGTTATCACTGAATTTTATTACTGTTAATTACAAAATTTTATTAGCTATTATACAAATGGAAAATTGAAAAGTTGGACTGTTTTAGGGAGGAAAATTTGCTGTGGGTGAGTGGTGTCCTGCATGAACTAATCATCCTAGCTCTTTGGAGGGTGTCTGAGCTTACTGCATCCCTACATAGAGGGATCCTCCTGGTGTAATTCTATAAACAGGTAGTCTGTTAGAGTCAATGGGGGATTGGCAAAAGCACCACAAGCAATCAAAACACTCTGCAAAGTCCTGTCATCACTGAAGAAACAAATGCAACACATTAGTGTCTATAATACCATATTTCTATGAATTTATTCCAAAACAAGATTATAACATATGACAAACTTTAAGTGTAAAACTTTCCCTGTGCCAGAGGGAACAAAAAAAAGAAGAGAAACATTCTGTGTTTTAAAATAGCTTCATCCCAGCCCCTGAACTGCGGAGTAAACCTGTGTCTGCACCATGAACATTGTTGTAGAAACTGAGAAATAAAATCTGCAGTTTTTAGAAACTAGCGAGAATTGAACTAAATAATATAGAGCTATGAAAGAATCAGTCAGTTGCAGGTATTTAGCTTCAGAACAGAACATATTAAATATACAGAATCCATTTACAAATGAAAAAGCTCTTCGAAGCTTATTTTTACTTAATAAAGGTAAAACTGAAAGAATACATTATCAGTGTGCATTTTCCTACTTCTGCATTAATTTGTTATAATGCAGGTAAGTGTGTTTCATTGTAAGTATTGAACAATTTATGCAGCGAGCCAGATTTGAAGTGAAAATACATTCAGTGAGCAGTAACGTGTTTAACCTTTTTCTCTGGTCTCAGCCTCTCCTGCAAGTGCTGAGCTTTGTGATCTGCTCTTTCTCAGCTGGGTTTCTATTAGCAGCCATGCGTGAGTCAGTGGGGAGCAGATTCTTTTCCTAAGTGGTTGAATTATTCAGCTATATAAACAAATTCATAAATATTAGGAAGAGAATATTGGTCCAGAGAACATCAAAGAGGTCAGTGGGAGGGAACAACGTGTGATTTGTTAAGGTATTAGCGCTTAAATTGCTCCTCTTGCCTTATTGTATTCTACTTGTTGGCATAAGCAAGTGATGATTAGGGGGAAAAATACTTGTGAAAGAATAATTGGAAATCACACCTAGCTTTTATTTATGGTGCAAAGGCAAGTGTTTTACAAGTGCTGATACTGAGAGGTGTATTCAACAGCATGACCTACTTAACAGGAAACGCTTCTCAAATACAGAGAATTCGAGTTTCTGCTCTGTTACTCCAGTTTCATATCAGAGCAACACACAGATCAGTGGAGTTACTCTGCAGTAAAAAGTGTGTTGCATTCATTTGGGATTTTTTATTTTGAAGGCACAGCAGAGCCAAGGCTTTTATCATTATAAGATGTTCATTTGTAAAGCTGATGATCCCGTAACATTCTAAGGATGTTTGACTTCTGCATGAGGCTTACATCCAAATTGTAATGTTGTTTGTCCAATTAATATTGTATTACCTCCCTGGAATTTGTATTTGTTGTGCATATAATCTTTTAGAAACACGTGTGTGTGCATATGCAAGCCTGCTTGGGGCGTCCTTGACTGCCATACGAAGGCACTCCATGATAAATTTTAAATAACTGTGTATGAAAAAATATCAGACAGACAAATTATGGAAATAATAGGATGGAAAAGGATTGTGATTTTAATTATGAGGCTTTGTCCTAATTCAGTGCTAGTAGTTAACAAGCCTGTTAAACAGCATCTCTGTGTAGTCTTGTGAAAGTGGCCTCTGTGAGTAGTCAAGAAACATAGCATAGACAGGCACATATAATGCACATCCTTATTCGAGCTGTTCTCAAAGATGGCTTTATCTGTGTGATACTCAACCAGAATGACTTCCCAGCTTTATGGTAACTAAGATCTTTTCTAAAAGAATGGCTACTGTAAGGCACTTGCCAAGTCTGCTCCATTTTATCTGTTCATAAACTTGGTTTCCTTGGCTTCACACTTCAGTTTGAAAAAAAAAAAAAAAGCAAGCAAGCAATGGTGGACATCTCACTGACCTTTGTGTTTCTTGCAGGTATCATAGTGAGACCTGAATCTTTCCTGTGGCCTCTACATCAGTGCTATACAAACATGCACAGTGAAAAAAAAAATCTCACAATATTTTTTTTTTTTGTTCCTTTTTCTAAGTTAGAAACAATTTTTAAAACTGTGCCAAACAGGCTAAACAAACAGCAATAGGAAATTTTTCCCATAAATAAAAAGTCCTGAGAAGTCAAAAGACTTCGTATTCAGCTGATCTTTGCTGGATACAGAGAAAATGAAGTGGCTAAGACTGCCTTTACTCATGCTCAACGATAATTTGGTCCAAAAATACTGCAAAATCAGAAAGAAACTCTGCAGAGGATAATTACATTGTATTTTCAGCTAACTGCTTGATTTAAAATGACTGTTTTCTTGCTACTGCTTTGATTTTATTTTAAAATGTATTTCCTTTCTTAGGTGGGTTTTAGTTCCAGTCCAGATGGATGTTTTGGTTTTGGCTCCTTTAGTTAAACCTGACTGGGTGTGAAAGTTAGGCTAATGAAGCTTCTGAACTGAACCGTTTTGGCTTTCAGTGCTCATGTGCGACTGGAGGGTACGTGGGTGCCTGCAATTGTGATTTGTAGAAATACTGTCTGGCAGGAACTTCATGAAGTCCAGAAAGACACAAAAGACCAAGAAAGCTGCATCTTGCTTCTAGTTCTGGTGCAGCTAAGGATACCTACAGTACGAACAAATGCTACACTGCCTTTGTGCCTAAGTTGCTGTGAGTAAAGTTGGTGTCATGATACTTGTAGGAAACATTATAGAAAGCTGGAGAGTGGTGTTTGTCTTACATGGTAAATTCGGCTTATGGGAAATCTGTGTGGTTTAGTACGTTCACGTGGACTGCACTGCGTATGTAGCCCAGCTAATTCTGAGTGAATTAGAAGGCCCCTGCTGACTGCTGATGGAGTTGCCGTAGCGTCTAAATGTATGCATTCAATCTAGATGTCAAAACCCCCTAATATTATCATAAATCTAAAAAGTTATGAAAAAAGACAAAACACCAAAAACGAGGCAGTAAAACTCGCTGAATTGGGGTTCCAGCTGCACTGAGTCTTACACAGGCAAACAGTGGTACACGTCAACATTATACTGAAGTTTTTGTGAGTTGGCAGAACTGATCAGTAGAGACTCAATGGTAACAGAAGCAATTATTTTCCTCTTTAACTCATCATCCACCAAGATGAACTGCAAACCCAGCTACAATTGCCCGGAAGTCCAGTGGAGCTTTTCTCTAATGTCAGTCCTCCAGTCATGGCTCCAGTCATCTGCCAGTTCACATTTTCAAATGTTTGCACACAGAGTATAATGTTATAATTTGTCTTGGGATTTGCAAGTACTCTGAAGATGCTTTACTAATCCATTTCTGAAAGGGAGTGTTTTTGCCTAAATAAATTTTCCAGTTCTGTCATATAAATTCACTGAGATAAATATAAAATCTCAATAGACAGACAAAAAAAATCTTATTCATGATAGTATTCTTTTTTTAACAACTACCCAAGACTAGTGTCTTGTCTCAAGGGTTTTAGTGAGGAATTGTTGCAAGCTTCTATAATAACAACAATAAAATGTTTTCACTTTTTCTTGATCCATGTTGCTATCTTTCTATTGAAGAAACAGCCTACAATTAACAAAAAATATTTAAGACCTTTTTTTTTTTTTTAAATGATCTGGTCTCTTCAGGCCCTTTAAAAACAGTTATCACACTGGTCAGCTCTTGTTTGCTGTTATGTAGGAGAAGGAAATCTTTTAGAACATTAGAAATCTTTTCAGTGATGGAGTGATTTTTTTCAAAAGTGATGAATCATCACAATAGCTTCTTATTTGCTGCAAATGTGGAAGTGGTGTTTTACTGTAGCTCTCCAGCTGCAAGTGCTCTTGGTTGTTTTTTTCCCTTCTTAACTCTTATCCCAGAAGCACTACCACCGTGGCTGATGGGCTCGGCCTGTGCCAGCGGCAGGTCCGTCTTGGAGCCGGCTGGCCTTGGCTCTGTCGGACATGGGGGAAGCTTCTAGGAGCTTCTCACAGAAGCCACCCCTGTAGCCCCCCCCACTAACAAAACCTGGCAACACAAACCCAACACAGGTCTCTAGAGCATAGACGGGCTGGTGTTACACAGCATAACACGTGCATACCTGTTGTTGAGGTCTTCTGTGACACTGCAAGTCACACAGTTTAGTGCAGTAAAGAAATGCAAGACTTAAACACTTGCTAATGATCGTTTGTTTAATCTACCACTTGCCCTCACTCTGAGGCGATATGATAGTGGCTTAATTTCTCACAGCAGTGGTACCAACAGCTTTATGATGGAAGATAATTTGTGAATTTAAGAGTTTTATAGATGTTTCACTGCATTAGCGCACTTAACAATATAGTACACTTACACCCATGAAATTAATCTTTTGTTTCCCCTTTTTGGCAGTTTGGTCAAGCAATACTTAATGCTATCGGTTTGTATTAGTAGAGCCCTGAGGATGACGTCAGCCAAGCGGCTCATTCTTTCTTGCTCCATTTCAAGCCAGTCAGAAGTGCAATGTTTCCTGAAGGTCTAGCTTTGGTTTCCCTGTATTCCACCCACAGGGAAAATCCTGGGATGGTAGATGATGTTTGTCTGTACTTTCACATTATATCCCTTTCTATTTTTAACACTATTATTATTGACAGAATGCTTACTGTATTGGTGCACTTGTTATGAAACATTACAGTTTCTGTTGTTTCTTCTAGGTAGAGAACAGACCCAAATATTATGGAAGAGAGTAAGTAACATACATCTCTGAAAGAGCTTTATCCGGACGTGTTGGTTGATAATAGTTATGGAAAAGGTTGCAAACGTTTGCTCTGGGCCCTTTGTTTCTTCTGTGTGTTTTACAGTAGTGTGTCTTGCTCACCATCAGATTATTATTGCAGTACCATCAGTTTTGTCTGCCTAAAATTACAGCTGGGTTTTCTGATGGATATGGATATCATTGATTGCTACCTGAAGTGAGAAAAACATACACTTCTGTACTTTCAAAGGGTTGTCTTTGTCTACCTCCTCCTCCAGTTGGCATTGCAAAAGGTGTTTGTGTGCAGGAAAAAAAAGATTTCAATCACAAATGCAATATAAGTGTGGAGTATATAGATGGCTTCAGATTGTGAAGGAAAAAACGGTTAGATTTAGTGTGGGGAAACAAAGCAGATCTTACTTGCGTTTATTTTGGTAAAGATGTGTTGTGTTGCTAGGTTATTACTGAGATTATATGCAATCCCCAAGATTCTAGCAAGTTGCCATAATATCCCTGTATGCTGCAAAATGTTGGATTGCATGCCACTGGCACAAAACATGTGAAACCAGCGGGAGAAAATGGATTTATTTCTACATATTAAATTGATAGATGCAGTTTTAAAAAGCAATATACTTGTTTCATAGATATTGTTTCATAGCAGCCTTTCTAAGCCATTTAAAGTGACTTCAAATGCAGGCAGAAAGGGAGATTAAGCTGTAGATTACTGCAAATCAGTCATTTTTATGTTTGTTTCTTTTTTAATTACCATGGTTGGTGGTTTTTAAAAGAGGAAAAGGTGATTTAAAAGTGAAAAGGCGTATGTTTCAAGAAGTCTTTGTTCCTTAGATTCCATGGGATGATCTCAAGGGAGGAAGCTGACCAATTACTAAGCGTTGCAGAGGGAAGCTATCTCATTCGTGAAAGCCAACGGCAACCTGGAACCTACACTTTGGCATTGAGGTTGGTAATTAATATTTCATTTTTAAATTATAAAATATTCAAAAGATTGTACTGTGTTGTTGACCTTAGTGCTTAAACATCCTTGTGATTGTTTTAATTTTTTTTTTTAAACATGGTCAGCATTTAATGAACTGATACTTTTTCTACCCTAGTTACAGGTGTGGTATCTTTAACCTTCCCTAACCCTTTCTGAAGCGCTAACATTTCTTATTGTTTGCACCATCAGGATAATAGCAATTGTGTTTTTGCCGGTAGTGCTTCATTTTGCCATTCTCCCACTGCGTCACAGATGTGACCCCATGCAGATGTTGGGAAAGCAGGCAGTCGAGAAAAAATAGGCATCTTATGAGTTCACATGACTAATCTGCTGTGTGGGTTACTTGCTAGCTAGCTGTGGCTGAAGAGCAATTAGTTCTCTCTAGTCCCTCTGTGGGATGGCCGATAAATCAGGACGTTTTTTGTCTGAACACCTGTTAGCTAACAGTGTTTGCGGATCTGTTTCCTCACTCTGCAAAATTCTGCCAAGTGGATCAGATGTAAATAAAAATTTAAATAAAAACTGAAATTAAAAAAAACGTAATTAGCTGTAAGTTTTAAATAGTTTACTTTTAACGTAATAGAGGTTATTTTGGCCTAGGCTGTACACCTAAGTACTCAGATGGGAGATGATGATTATTAGCAATGTTTTAAATCTAAGTGGGATAGAAAAACATTGAAGGAGAAGATGCAGTTACTGAAAGTTTTATGTGGGTAAAATAAAATTAAAATAAGAATATCTTGAAATAATAGGTTGTGATGAATTAGTTTGGGGCAGCTTTCTGGGAGGAGTGGGGAAGGTGTATTTTACTGAGATACTTGTTTCTGTAGTAATAAAATTCCAAACAGAAACATTATTGGCACTTACACTGGTTTGCATTAACAGTGTAAATAAATTGATGTTGCTTATTAGGGTCTAATACTCCATTTCATCTACTTCTGCTCTTGCAATATTAATTTAAAGCTAAAAAGAAAACAGTTGTCATAACATCTGGCTTGAAGACAAAGAACTTCTGCCCCTTGCTTCTGGTGGTGCAGAAGGCACAGGGCCTGTAGACTGTGAAAGGTGAAGCTGTTGAGCATCTTGCAGGATGTAGTGATACAGCTTGTTTTACAAATGCTCCTCCAGTCCAGCAAGACAAAAGATGAGTCTTTTCTAGGTTCGATGGTATCTCTTTGTATTGGGTCTGGCTGAGATGGAGTTAATTCTCCCCACAGCAACCCTCATGGTGCTGTGCTGTGTATTGGTAGCTAGCAAACTGTTGATAACACACCAGTGTTTTGGCTACTACTGAGCAGTGCCAGCACACATCAAGGCTTTCCAACATTTCTTTTTCCCCAGCAGTAGGCTGGGGGTGGGCAAGATCTTGGGAGGGGACACAGCTAGGACAGCTGACCCAAACTGACCAAAGGGATATTCCATACCATATGACGTCTGCTCAGCAATAAGAAACTGAGAATAGGGGGAGGAACAGGGCAGGGGCATTCGTTGTTTGGGGTTTTTTTATTACAGTATTTGTCTTCCGGAGTAAGGGGCATGCATACTGAAGCCCTGCTTCCCAGGAAGTGGCCGGACATTGCCTGCTGATGGGAAGTAGAGAATAATCTTTGCTTTTTGCTTTGTTTCTACACGCAGCTTTTTGCTTTAGCTACGTTAAACTGCCTTTATCTTGACCCACGAGTTTGGGGTTGTTTTTCCATCTTCCTTTCTCCTCTCCCTGCCTTACTGAAGAGAGGAGTGATAGAGCGGCTCTGGTGGGCACCTGGGCCTCAGCCAGGGTCAACCCACCACAAATTGCCTGGCAGTGCCCTATGTGACCGGCTTTCAAACTGAAAACCTCTTTGGAAGCAATAAAATCTATGTTTATACCCAGCAGAAAAGAGAATGGATACCTGTTGGTGATTCGTTTGGGAAACAAACGGTATCAGAGCTGTTATCACTGATTTATTTTGAGGAAATTCAGTATTTGGCAAAACACCTCAGAATCTGAAACTGCAGCATGTTGCAGCCATTTCATTATGGCTGAATGAAACTAGCTGAGCGACTTGTATATTAAGGGTGGTGGTCTAGGTGGCTGCTTTCCATCTCACAGCAAGTAATGCTCTGTTGTCTTGCTGTTGGCCTTTAACCTATATGAATGAGAGTCTTTGCTCTCACCTTAGGTGAAAGTTCTCTGTGACCTGCAGCAGTGTGTCTTCCACAAGTGGGAAGTTTACCACTAGGATTTCTTTTTCTCTCTACTAGGAAGTGTAGCAGGAGTCTGTGTTTCCATTGACTGGAGACAGAGTTTTGCTCAGCATGCATTTTTCCTCTCCCTGGAATTACATATGCAGAGTATACCCACTAGCCAATATTCCCACTGAGTGTGTTGCTGACATTGTAGCATCTCTAAAAGACTAGGTAATTTCTGTGATCTTTGTGTTCAGCCTGACTGTGAGAAGTTTGCTGTGAGTTTATGGAATTTTTACTTGTAATTTATAGCATTTTTTGAGACCATCATTTGTGTTTGTGTCACTACACTGCCAGACAGCAAAGGTAACTCTGTCTGCAGCTTACATAATCCCAGTAGGAATTTCAGAATGTCATCTCCATGGCCAGAAACCGAGCTTGTCAGTAGGGTGGTATGTATGGGCAAAACCTTTCCAAGTTCAATGGAAGACTTTGATTGACTTCAGGGTCTCTAATTTCACCCTTTTCTAGCTGTGTGAATCAATTTGATCTTTCCATACTTAAATGGCTTAAATGCCACTCTGTCCTGCAAGCAGTCATGTTAATTTTAAGATCACTTCTGTATGATTTTTGCTTTTCCTTCTTTACCTTTGTCTCAGCCTTTAGAAGGTGTGGGAGGAAAGAAAACTTGGTCAGCTATTAGTTTTATATAAAGAAACAGATGCCGAACAGGTTTCACAGCATTTTACAAAGTTAACTCAGAAATGCTGAAGACGTGCTCTAATCCTGCAATAAATAACATAATGACAAAACATAAAATGGAATATCCATGTTTTCAGACATGCTTGGGAAAACGAGTGGAAAATGTTGAGTAAAATTTAGATGCTTGAGGGTACCCATTGACTCTTGACATAAATATTTGGTTCCCTCTGTATTTGTGTATCTACTCAATCTATCTCTCACTGTGTATGTTTGTTGCTTGATTTGTCTGTCTTTGACAGTCTGTCAGTTGTGATTAGGATAAATTAGAAACTACCTATGAAATGTGATTGCGTCATAAAATCCCAATTCATTGAGACCTAAATGTCTTGCGGAAACATTGGGTAGGATCAGCCACTGTCAAGACTGAGACCCGGGTTGTTTCCTGGCTTGTAGTTACTGGTTCTTCTGCTGGGGGCAGGCAATTCAGTAATACAGACGACAGCATGCCCAGCTCTGGCAGACGTCTTCTTCCTGCGTTTGTGTCCGTGTGCCTGGGAATCCTGAAAAACCCAGTGCATCCAGTTGTGAAGAGCAGTTTAGTGAAACAGGATCATAACCCTTTCTGTGACAAGGTATGAGGTGTCTGTAATGAAATATTTCTAGTCTTCATTCTGCAATGGAAAAAAAAAAAGCTTTTTGTGCTTTGTCCTGAGGACCTAAACTAGCCAACTCCTCAAATCATCGTGGAACAATTTGAATGCTGCACTTGATTCCACCAGCTATTGTAGCTGATGTCTAAAATCTCGATGGTATGTTCATACCAGCCATTGATGAAGTTATTTTGAATTGAGTTCCAATTGTAGTTCTGTTTTGTCTAATATTTTAGTGTGGTGTTTCCAAATTAGGTGAAGGCACTGCATCCTCAGAATTCAAGAAGGAAGATATCCTGATGTTTGTTGTTTGATTTATTTATTTTATATTACAGTTTATTTAATCAACTTCAACATCAGGTATCTGCTGTATTGGTAAAATTTCTAGCATAGTTAAATTGGAAGTTAGAAAAGATGCTAAAAAAACACTTTGGCTACAAAGCAAGCTAGGTGAGAGATAAAGATAGAACTCAGAATCCTTATTATGACTGCCCAGACATTGTATTTGTGAATACATCATCCTCTATGTCGCAAATCTGATAGAGATTAAGGAACCCTAGCTCAACTTTGTAAAGTGGGTATTTATCTTCTTCTGGAATTCTTAAAGATGATCACCTCACAGACGGCTGTGTTATAGGGGGAAAACAACAACATTATCTCTTGTTCTGTCTCTGTCCTCATTGCTTATTCCCTTCTAGACTGTACTTACAGCGGGTATCTTCCAGAGATGCTCAGATTGTCTGTCTTTGCTCTGCAGTGAAGATTTCCACTTGTTAAACAGCTTAATCTTTCTAGAAGACAAAGAATAAACTGTTAACACCACAAATCATAACTCCTTTGTAGGCAGACAGAATTCACAGTTATAAAAACATGTTTTTGTGAAATCTGGAACAGATTGGACAATCACACTATGCTACAGCCTTCAACTACAGCCAAAATGCACAGAATGCGAATGCAGTTGGTGCATGAAGGTTCTTTTATGGAGTGTTCTACTCCTAACACAGCTCTTCTGCATTTCACTTTTTAAGTTACTCTAAGGGATGCCTTAAGTCATCATAAAATGGGTAGATCTGGGGAGACATCTGGGTAATTGTTTGCAAAGAGCTTCTCCCCAGTTATATATCTCTGTTATTGTATTAGCAAGTTCTCTGACTATGAACACACTGGGTCAGATCAAAGGACCAGTTCATAGTCTAGTCCAGTATCTACTCTTTGGTAGCTACTAGTAGCAGACATTTAAAGAAAAATATAAGAACAAGATGAACATGTAGCAGTAGTTCTCTGGTGTGCTCTTCCAGCCTCTGAAAATTTGCTGTTCATGGACTTCTGAGCAGAATTGTTATCTTTGCTATTTTTTCAGGCTTTTGATGGAGAGCTTTTTGATTTTTGTCTAGTGGCTTTCTGAGCACATTTTGGAACCCTCATAGACTGCTGTCTGTGTG